TCAAGTGTTTATATGTCCATGTATCCTCATGTCCCAAGAGTCCATGTCTACCTTGTAAGACGCCAGCGTGGCTCACAACTGTCTGTATGTACACACAAATATGGAGTAGATTGCAACACAACGCTGTCATAGGGATCATGTCATTCTGAAATCCTACAACCCACCCCACAGAGATCATGGGAGCCACCTGGTCCCTGTGCACACTCCATGAGACTGCCTGGGCTTTCTGCTGGAAGACATGAAGTTACTAGTTTTGAACGGGAAGATGCAAAACTGAATGCAGAATTTGTACCTGAAATGGCACACTCCACAGAAGACAATTCTCCAGAAGGTCCAGCACCACCAGACCTGGCAACAGTTTCCTCTCAAGTGCCATCCTAGACCACTCAACAGCTACTCAGCTTCAAAAATGGGAATGTTCATTCTACCAGCTATATGTCCTTCCTTGCCGATGGTTTAGCCTACATAGCTTAGAGCCCACACACCATCATCACCTTCTAGTAAAGTGGGGAAATACAAAGAACCACCCCCATCATGTATGCATACATGGAGATGAGACATGCTGAGATCATGAAACCCCTTCTCTAGAAAGGTGCATCGGCTTTGCCACGGGTGCTTGCCTTGCCATACAAGTACCCAGCCTTCAGATTGAGCAGGGCTTGGAGGTCCCTTCTGGATGACTCCTGTGAGTAGAGTGGCTTGATGATCTGGCACCAACACCCCTGATTGGAGGATGTTTATCTTCAAAGGCCACTGAGCCTACCAGAAACAAAGCATCTGCTTATCACAGAAAATTTCCCACTATCTCTGAATACACCAACCAAGTTATTCAGGTGAGAATTTGGAGAAAGCTTTTGTTAAATGGATGGCAGCACATCAAGGAGTATATTGCACTAGCTTATAGCATATCCAAATTCCTCAGTCTTAAAACCCACTGTATCATGCAAGAGCAAGAAGACAGTACGTTTCTTTGTGTCCTTACCAAAAAGGACAAGTTAAAGAGAAAGAGTTGTAGAAACACAACAGATTTAGTGTTCATTCAAGGTGCAAGGCGGAGGAAAAATCTGGCTACAATGCCATTTAGACTCTAAAATGTACCCACAATAATGGAAGGAGCAAGAATAAGATATAAGCCAGTAAAGGTGATGAGTTTGTCACATCTACTGTCATCTAGAATGGGATACATTTACAGGTCAACAGACAAGGTCGTGCAGCTGAAAGGCCTCGTACATCTAAGCTGAAGGGATTTCGTGATTTATTCTTCAATCATAATCCCACTACTGGAAGTGCAGAGGAGACCTGGATTACCATAGATCACCTTGATGAAGCTAAGCTCAGGAATCTTCAAGTTGAACTCAAGTTTTGTCCAACTACAAGTTCTTAGGACAGTCAGAGTAGTATGTGAACTTACAAGCAATACAGAAGACTGTCTAGATCATGCCAGCATGTGACTGCAGAAATCTGGGTGTTAGGCTAGAGACCTGTGGCAGGGTGGGGTGGGGGGTGTTCTAGAGTCAAATTACTATCCATAGGCCATCTGGACTGCCCTCCTTTCACTTTACACAATTCTACCAGAGTACTCATATTCAGAAGGGCTTATGCATCAAGTTATGTAAGGAAAAGCAATCAACAGTGACTTCTTGGAAATCTCAGGGATCCAGGAAGATTTGTTCAGAAGTGATAAGGGAACCACATAGGAAGAAAGGGCTCACCTCACCCCAGCAGGCCGAAGGAACCTCCCCAGGTCTGCTCAGGCAGACCATGGAGCACAAAGTAACTTCAAGAGCCCTTAGCTGAGCACAGTCCATTTTCAAGGATGATGGAAAGAGCATGTCCCTACCTTCCTGATGTCCCTCATGTCAATAGTCACCTTCCTATTCAGAGAGAATCCCAGGATATAAAGCATTGCATTTAGATATGTCTTGATATGGAGGCATCCCAATGCCCACACACCTGTAAACATCCATACAGTGATCTTAAACATTGGTAAAATGATCATAGTCCTCAACAGGATGATGAGGATAAGTTTGTCTTCATTCCAGAGGCACACCCTATAACACAGTCTCCTACCTTGAGCAGAAGACAACTCTGACATTGGCCAAGCAAGAAGTACAGGTTCACACCACAGCCATCTCAAACAGCAAATGGTTTTCATATCCCAGAAGGACCCCACTTCCACAATGGAGCATTTCCAGGAAGCTCAGACAGTGGCTGGTGGACTCACAGCCAGAGTGCCACCAGAACTCTTTCTCGTTGTGCAGCATACAACTATGGCTGAATTCTAGAGATTATCTTTTTAAGTAAACATCAGATTATCTTTTTAAATAAAGATATCAAAGAGCCCAACAGAAGCCTTAGTCCATTCAAGGTCATAAGTCCCTATTGGACATGAAACAAACTTAAAACCAAAGTTGTCTTAATCACAAGTCCTGCAGACTATGAACACAAGAAAACAAGGTGTTCAGTAGGGAGAATAAATAGACTCAAGGCCGCTGTGAAGAACACTCTTCCTGGAGTTATCATGGAAAATCCATATGTGAATTTACCTGTGAAGATGACTTTCAGAGGTTACATTAGACACAAGCTTTAGGTCAGAAACACATAGAAGAGACTTTATAAGAAATGCAGAGGGCTGGGAAGGTGGCTCAGTGGTAGAGCGCTTGCCTTGCATGCCTGAGGCCCTCGGTTCAATTCCTCAGCACCACATAAGCAAGAAAAAGCCAGAAGTGGCGCTGTGGCTCAAGTGGTAGAGCACTAGCCTTGAGCTGAAGAGCTGGGGTCCAGAGCCCAGGCCCAGAGTTCAGGTCCCACAACCGGACCTCCCCCCCAAAAAATGCAGAGAAACTTCCACTTATTCTCCATGCTTTCAGAGGCATGGAGAACCTCAAAATACAAAGCAAAGTCTACAGATATCTTAGTTCTGATCAAAGTCAGGAGAGCATTCCCACTATAAATTCAACAAACACTGAAAATAGTATGGAAGGACTTCCAGGAGAAGTGGCCACATTTCAAAGTACATGGTCAGAAAGACAGCGGTGTTCTTCAACAATGTGTACCAAGTAGGGACAATACTGGACACAAAGCACTAGAACAGCCTCTTAAGAGCACTGTCAGGACCCACCTCAAAATAACTCAAGCAGGACTGGTTCACCTGCCTGCTGGGACAGATACCTACCCAGGATAGAGGCTGATGTTGCTATCACTTTAATACCCAAGGATTTTGCCATTAGTCTACCATATGCCAGCACTCATTATTCCTCAGTGTAAGAGAAATGGAACTGTTATCATGGAACTGGGATTATTCCATGAAAGTTAACAGATATTCCTTCTAAACAAACATTTCACATGCAACATGTTTGCTGATAGTATGCTTTTAAGCATGCGACACACAAAACCTGGGAAGTTGCTAACACAGAATAGTCAACTCAGTGCCTACAGTCAGGGCCCTTGAGGCTATGGTTTGCCTTTAAATAACGGGGCTCACCCACCTATCAACTTAAACCAGACAATCAACGATGAGTTCCTCTCCTTCCCCATTCAAGACCATGTAAGGCTGTAGCTTGGACCACATATCAGTCTCGTCTTCATCTGGTGAGCAACCAGCCACTCGCACCAGAGCACTCCAGCATCACAGTGGTCCTCCTGTCTCCAGTCTTATTTCCTCCATCCCACATGATTTGCAGTAGCAACTCTGACCATCTAAATCTACCTGCATCATGTTTGAAGTCCCAAGAGCCTTTCTCAATGCCATGAGAGGCCCCCTTCAGCTCTCCTTCAGCCACACCCAGCCCCAATCCTATTTCTACCCAAGCATTCCTTCAGGCAAGCTTCATTTTTTGCAGAACTCAGTACTTTCTTCTTCACTACACTGTTTGTAAAGGTAAGATCTGAATGAGGAGTCATTATCCAAGAAAACCAAGGAATACTCCCCATGGTTCCATAGCAGCTCAACCCACCACACACACCCTGAATTCAAGAAACACGCTCCCACTACAGCTGTCTTATCAAGAATATGCTATACTGTGCCAGTATTTTAAATTGAATAATGTGCCAAATTCGTTTCACCAAGGGTAATAGACACCTGGCACCAAGCTTCAGAATCTTCCACATTGGCTCCTAACCTTCCGTGGATAACAGACACACATTTGTGCCAACAGTATCAGCTCTGCTAGATTCCAGCATTCCTGGTATCCAAGGTTTGGATGATCTCAGAAGACTGCTCTAAATGGCACCTGGATTCCACCATTCAGGAATTAAGAATCCTCTTCCTGCAACACCCAATGTCACTGAAACTCCTGCACCATCTACCTGTCAGGTGGATGCTAGGCGTACGACTGCCTTTGACCTAGGCGGCCTCCAAACCTTCTGGGCAAGTGGAGGCTCTGCCCTCACCATCCCACCTGTGGTAACTCTAGCGCCACCTCCTTTCTCCCCAGGAGGCCGTTCAGCTGCAGAACATGACTAAGACTGTCGCTACCCAAGGTAATAACAAGAGGTCCAATGAGATGTGTCTATATTGACAAAGCTGAGATCCTCGCTTTCAACAAACAAATTCGTAAAGGTTTTGTCTTCAACTCTGGTCCTGGGCCCTAAGCGTCTGTGCTCCAGGCTCGTCCTCTACCACTTGAGCCCCAGCTCACTTCTGCCTTCTCTGGTAGTGAATTGGAGATGAGAGTCTCTCAGACTTTCCTGCCCCAATGTCTCAGATCTCAGCCCCTGAGCAGACAGGATTAAAGGCGGGGCCAGCCATGCCCTGGGCCTGAGGGCTTCTGCCAGGGCCTGCCCTCCGGGAGGGGGAAGCGGAAGTCGGGGGGCGGGCTCTTCCCGTCCTGCCTATAAAGGAGAGCTGCACAGCCCAGGCTTCATTCCCTGGTCCAGGCTGCTGAAGGGAAGGACGCCAGGACCACGACTCCTATGGCGACCGTGATTAAGAGTGCGGCGGTGGTGGTACCCTCATCTCCAGTCCCGACCTAGCCGCGATTTCTCAGCTCCTTCCGGAGATGGATGGCGGGGAGTCGCCCGCAGACAAATGTGGGGAGACTGGCGAGTCAGAGGAGACGATCGCTGCTCCCAGAGACCCAGGGGCTGCGGACACCGAAGGAGCACCCGAAGAAACGGAGGGCGACGGAGACGCGGGCCCGAAAGAGGCCGCAGCGGAGGAAGGCAAGAGTCGGGATGCCTCAGATTGGACAGCAACTGAAAGGGAAGACACATCACTACCTACTCCTGCTGCCAAAAAGCTGAAGGTAGATACCAGAGAAAAGAGGAAGCAAAAAGTGGATCAAGAGGAGATTCAAAAGATGCAAATCCTAGTTTCTTCGTTTTCTGAGGAGCAGCTGAGCCGCTATGAAATGTATCGCCGGTCAGCGTTTCCTAACGCAGCCATTAGAAGGCTAATCCAGTCCGTCACTGGCACATCTGTATCCCAGAATGTTGTTATTGCTATGTCTGGGATTGCCAAGGTTTTTGTCGGGGAGGTGGTGGAAGAAGCCCTGGATGTATGTGAGAAGTGGGGGGAAATGCCACCACTACAGCCCAAACACATGAGGGAGGCTGTTCGAAGGCTGAAGTCGAAGGGGCAGATCCCTAACTCAAAGCACAAAAAAATCTTCTAGAACCAATGCTGGAAAGGCCCATTGCTGACAGGGGATGTCCTGGTGCTTCAGTCAGTAGCTGTCTTCTGAATATTCCTATGGTGACAATTTTAATGTCTTTATCCAAACAAGTATTCATTGCACCTAAAAGGTATACAGCCTATTTCAGATTTGTAATTAATTTCGGCCTCTCCTGACATTTGAGGTATTTCAATCTCAGCTCATTGGAAGAAGATTCATGGATCTTCAGCGTCTTTTAAACAGACGTGCTGCTTTCAGACAAAACCCTGAGAATTCTGAGGGTGGTTTCACATTGAAGCCTAAACTTGCTGTTAACAAAAAGAAGTTATTACCTCTGGTTTTCAGTAGATGAAACAGCCAGAAACTCTCACTTTTGATATTTACCATGAAAGATATGATTAGTGAAGTAATTTGTGCTTGTTAACACTAAAGAATTTCCTGTGGCTTTTGATGATCATTAAACTTTTCCAACTTGATATGCTATTCATTGTGTGTCTAGCTCGTTGGAATGGGGAGAAGTTGTTTTTTAAAATGGTGTCCAAATAAAAATTGCTCTTAGCTTTTAAATAAAAAGAGTGTGGTGGTGAAGCAGGAGCGCCTCAGGCCCTCAGCCGCGGCCTGGCCTCACTTCCGGCCCGCGCGCAGCCCCAAGGAAGACCCAGGGCTCCGCGACAAGCAGCCCGGGGCCCCGGAGAGAGACAAGTCCGCGTC